ACCCAGAGTTCAAACTTCAAGACCTTTTGCAGTCACTGGTGTTGATTATGCTGGTCCATATAGAATCAAGTCCCAAGTTGGGAGAAAAGTTAAAACTTTCAAGTGTTACATATCCATTTTTGTGCATTTCTCAACAAAAGCTGTACACTTGGAGTTAGTCAGTGATCTATCAACTTCAACTTTTTTAGCAGCTCAAAAAAATTTATCACCCGACGAGGCAAATCATCTGAAATTCCGAGTGATGATTATGCTACTATCTTCAAAAGGTGCTAGTAAGGAACTGAAGGAGATTTATAAAAATGCAACTTGCATCGAGAAAAGCAGTGAAGTATGTAACTACATTACCTCAGAAGGCTTGGTTATTTAATCCTCCGACATCTCACTTCAATGGCTTGTGGGAATCTAATGTGAAATCCATGAAATTTCATCTTAAACGAGTATTAGAATCAACACTTCTAACTTACGAGGAATTTTTAACAGTGCTTATACAAGTGGAAGAGTGTATGAATTCCCGTCCTCTATGTGCAATGTCTTGTGATCCAAACGACTTTAGTGCATTGACTCCAGGTCATTTTCTGATTGGCACCCCTTTGCTTACCATTCCTGAATCTGACTTGAGTGACGTTAAATACTTAAATGTTGGTCTTTAGTTCAACAGACTGTGCAACATTTTTGAAAACGATGGTGCGCAGAATATTTAACAACCCTTCAACAATGTGTAAAGTGGTTTCGTGCATCTCCAAATCTAAAATATGGTGACTTAGTTCTGATCAAAAACAAAAAACTGCCTCCAACCAATGGAAAATTGGAAGAATTGCCTTAATTCATCCAGGCAGCAATAAAAAAGTTCAGGTGGCTACAATCCATACAGACGCTCGTGACTTTAGCCACTGGTAACTCTTAGAAGGCTTTAAGGCTGGGGGCTATGTTTAGTATTTTTTGTTACCAAACGAATTTCTAATGTGTCTTTGCAATAATAGATGGCGCTATTGCCTGATGATTCAATTGTGGTTGCTAGGGTAAAAACTTTCCAAAGTATGCGAGTTATGTGTTCTATTTTTTATAATTATTGCTACAATGCTTTGAGTGATATGTGCTGTGTCGTCTTGCGGATGGCATTTCATTCTATTTCAAAGTGTTATGTAAAATACACTCATGTCCATAAATAAAGGATAATTCGGAGTCACGCAGAAATCGAACTCTAAAATAAATATATCACCTGTAAAATCACTACACACATCTTCAAGAATCATATGCAAGTTTCAGGAAGTAACCAGATGACACCGATGGTATGTCACAATGATGAGAGTGTAAGAGAGTGACATATAAGGAATACAGGCAAAGAAGTAAAATTGTTCGCAGGCGCTTTATAAGCATTTCAGTGCAATAACCGAGTAGTTATGACACAAAGGACGCATTTGGATGATATTTTATGTGGTAGAATTATCGGCCGTCTGGAATGTGGGTGTACCCAACTAGAAGTATCAGATGAACTTGGAACTGCCCAGAGTGTCATCTCCAGGCTTTGGCAACGATTCCAAGATGATGGTAATGTGAGTAGACGTTACAGCACAGGTCGCCCCAGAGTTACAACGTCGAATGAGGACCTGTATTTGGCAGTTACTGCCAAAAGAAAGCCTCAGACCTGTCGCGTCAGCTCTCTTCAGCCACTGGTACGACAATTTCAAGGCAGACCGTGTACAGACACTTAGAGCAGATTGGTCTATATGCTCGTAGGCATGTCGGATGCATTCCACTTACTGCAACTACTCACTGTCGCCTGCGGTTAGCCTGGAGTAGAGAGCATGCATTGTGGACATCGCAACAGTGGGCTTGTGTGATGTTTTCCAACAAGTCCAGGTTTAGCTTGCAGTCTGATTCTTGCCAGACTTTCATATGGAGAGCTCCAGGTACACGTTACCACCAAGAAAACATCATTGAACGACACCGTTATGGTGGTGCAGGAGTGCTCGTGCAGGGTGGAATTATTCTGGGTTCCAGAACTGACCTGCATGTTCAAATTGGAACCATGACAAGCCTATCGGGACGTCATTCTGGAAAAACATGCACGTTTGTTTCGGGGCGTCATGTGCGCAAAATTTGCGTTTATGGATGACAACGCCCACCCTCATTGTGCAAACATCGTAAGCGAATGCCTTCAATCGGAAGATATCACCCGTATGGACTGGCCAGCATTCTCACCGGACTTGAATCCAGTAGAGCACGTGTGGGACATGCTTGGCCGACGAGTTGCAGCCCGTCAACCTTTCTTACATGTTTACCGGAACTTCGGAGAGCATTGCTTTTTGAGTGGTGTAATATCCCCCAAGATCAGATCGATAATTTGATACTCAGCATGCCTAGGCATTGTACGGACTGTATTGCATCGTCTGGGAGACATACAATCTATTAACAATCATACCAACCACGTAATATTGGTTTTTTGTAAATAGTATTTTTTGTAATTTGCTCCAGGAGAAAAAATCGCTAATGTTTTTAATAATATCAAACATATAGCATCTTTTTTTGCTCTTTACCTTTTGTTTAATAAATAAGCTTTAGAAATAAGTCAAAATTGTTTTGCTTCTAACTCTTCCTTTACCTGATTTTGCATTATCCTTAATTTATGGACGTGAGTGTAAATAAGTTATATTACAGTCCGCTTACCTTTATTTTTGTGAACTTATTCTTAATCACAGTACTTTAAACATACACTTTTGTCCATGTTGAACTGTTTGGAACTCCTTGGGCTCATGAATTTAATAAATGATTTATATTTTTAAGATAATTTTGCTTTGTGATAATGCCACTCATAGCATACCAGAATGTAGTCATAAAAACTTCTCTAACAAAATGAGTGAACTTGTATACTCCAGCTATTATGCTCTATTTTAATAGATTCATTTTATTCACTCATCTTGACTACAAAACATGGACACAATGTTAATGCATTCATGCTTCTTTTTTTACAGCACTGGTTATGTGTCATCAGATCACTTGGTTGAGTTCTACAGTATGGAACAACTTAATATTTTAGATTTTACAGGACCTTTTGCAGGCAAGCATTCAGAAAGTATCTAAGAAAGCATAATGAAGTATCTATATTTAGTTTTGCTTAAGACACATTTCAAAAGAAAAAAAAATCATGAAGTAGGTCTTCCATAAATTATTTTAACCCTCTAACCAGCTGGGTTTTTGTTAAGAAAACACAAATTTCCCAAAACTACCATGAAAAAGAATTATTTTCTTGATTTTTTAATCAAAATTTCACTGTACTTTATATAGTACAAAGTCCATAATCCGGACTCGTTGGGAATTCAGCGATTCTGGATTAAGGGTTTTCCCGGATTATAGATCATCAATTTAAATCTGGTAAGATGGCATGCAGAAATTATACAATTAAAAATATGAAACCGTAATTTAGGAAATAAAGAGCAATATGATCAATTAGGTATCAAAATTTACAAAAAAAAAAAGCTTAATATTTATTTGTTTACTTTATTAAACATTTCTATCAATGTAAGTTGTTCAAGTTGCTTCATTTTTTTGCGCTAAACATGCATGCGTAAAGCATACAAAAAAAAAAGTTTGTGGCTTTGAGTTCCAAATTATATATCATTCCGGATAATGGACGTCTGGATTACAGACTTTGTACTGTACCTAGATTTATGTACTTTTAACGCCTTGCCTTAATTTCTTGGAATATTTTAAGATGCATGTATTCTTAATACATTCTTAATACATCACAAAAAATATTTTAGGTTATATATATTTTGTAATAATAAAATTCCATAGTCATAAATACACTTAAAATTCTAACTGCATATTCCTTTCATTTTTTAATGGCGACGGTCTCTTATTTGAAAGTACGTGGAATTAAATCCACAGCCCCGTAGTTGATTTTCCTGCCTTTTGTACACATACAGTTATAGAATGTTCTGGAAATATTTAAAGTGAACTGGAATGGCTGACGAGGCTGACATCATTCCTTTCCAGAGGCTATAAAAGGACTCGCGAAGGAATATCGGGGCCTTTTCTTTTAATGTAACGATGCAGTAAACTTCAGACAAAAAGTTATTAGCAATTCTTTTTTATTTACTCCGGAAAGATTATTTTTGTAACTGCTATTTCTCCTGACCAATAATAAATGGATCCTGTTTTTTAAACTTATCGTCTGATAATTTAGGCTACGACTACATCTATATTTCTTCACGAATCTATTTATTCCAGACAAAAGCTGGTACATCACACACACACACACATATATATATATATATATATATGTAATTTTTCAGTTATTCTAACACATCGTGGGCGAATGGTGAGGCTATTCCATTACACGTTCTGGCAGATGGTTAACGAAGCTGGGGTGATTGAAACACGGAGAAAAATGACGACTCAGCAGATGACTTTTTCCAGATGAAGTTAATCAAATAACTTATTCAGTAATTGAACTATTAGATACGACTGACTTTAAACTTTAATACATCATAACGTTCTAACCAAGAAAGAGGAGCATAGCAGAAGCGTTAGCAGGACGAAGGGGAGAAGGCATCTGTCTAGGAGAACTTATGACACAGCATTTATATGAAAGGTTATGTAACAGAGTAGCTTCTAGAAAAATGTAGAAAAACTTATGATGCAGTATTTATATGAGGAGGTTATGTAATAGGCGTGAATGTTCTAGCAGGTACTGGGTTAGGGGACGATCCTGAATTGCAGAAAATTAAAAAAGGTTGCTGGTTCGCAAAGAGCAAAGCCATCGTATTTTTTTTTATATTTTACATATATATATATATATGTTGTTGCCAGTCTAAGAGTTAAGGACGCAAATAATGATAAGCATATCTGAAATCTAAATTCATAAAAATCTTCCAGTAAAGTTAATTTTATGCATTATATTCAACACCAAATTCAATATTAGTGCCGTGTTAAGGTGCAGAGATATGTGTGCCCTTAATGTGCTGAACAATATAACTTAAAAATACTGAATAACTTACCCATGAGTTTAAATTATCATAATAAGGAGGATTTTTTACAGGCTGTTCTCCATCTGTAAAATGGCAAATAAACGATATATACCATAAGAATCACTAACACAAGAATAATTTAATATTTCCCATTTGAAATAACAATAATACTAAATTAAGAAATATCAAAAATATTATATTTCTCATTACTGAAGAAAATATTTAACAAAATATTGAAGGATAATATGGCTTGATGCAATAATGCGACTTACTTGCAAAAAGAACATAATTCTTTTGCAAGTAAAAATTATAGAAAATCAGTGAGCATTTTTATAGTTTCATACAATTATGAAGATGAAAATACATAAGATAAAAGCCTCAAATTTGCTAAATTTAATCTGTCTTCAGAATTGCCTGCAAATTATTTTGAGACAATACTTTATAAAATTACAACTAACAAAAAACTTGTTTTCAAAAGCAGAAAATGCAATTTTAGTAAAATAAAAATGATGTTTTATGCAAAACAAAAAGCAATATTTTTTTGTATATGAAATGTTTACAAAATGGTTCTTTCATTCTTCAAAAAATTTTCCTTGCTATTATCCCTTTTTCTCTACATTGCTTTTACTTTTGTTTTGAATTCTATTCTGGTTTAGAATTAGGTCACAGCTACTCACTGGCAGTGATGAAAATAATTGAGGTATCGATCAATTTAAAAAAAATCTGTCATTATAGTACAAAAACTTCAGAAACTTATGAATTTAAATATCCTTATCTAAACAATAATCAGCTCTATTCTTCTCTGCTCAAAAAACTGACATAGTCTAAATGATACATCTACATTTGTGTCAAAAATATAGCAATAAATAAACTTCATTAACGGCTGCTATAAGTATGATATTATATATAGAATCTGATGGTTCTTCATTTGTTTTGATTGCTAATGCTAACAAAAGTTTAGAAAAACAATGAAAAATGAGGTAGTTACAAAGAGAAAAGAATTTATTGTATGAAACCAGGAAGGATCTGAAAACAAAAGATATTATACAACACGCAGATTAAGTTTTTTGGGAACATTTCAGCAAAAGTAACATTTTAAAACTCAACAATGTGCTACAAGATCAGTAGGCTACTAAACTAGATTCAGGATAGAAGTTTACTGTAAAAGACAATAATCATTCACAAAATGATTGCAACTGTTATGACAAAGATTTTAAGAGTCTGCAATGAATCCTTTTTATCCATTTTTAAGAAAAAAAACCAAGAATATTATGCTGACCAAAGTCACTGCACACAGTCTGCTTCTCTGCAACCATCTCCAACGACTTTCATTCAAACTATAATTTCATTTTCTTCTTTTATTTTTAATGTGAGGAAATTTAAGAAATATAAATAATTATAGTACTCATATCTGTATTTCGTGTTACACTCAGTAGTTGTGAAACTGTTGCATGGAATTCTCAGTTCAAATAACAAGTACTTTATTGACAACTCTATCCTTACTAACACGTCTCTTGTCTTAGGATCATAAACAAAGCACCAAATTTCATCTCCAGTCACAGTCTGTTTGAAAAATTCAGAAATGATGTCTGATATTTTGATCAAATAATGACATGCAGAAAATCCTTTTTATTAAAAAAAAAAAAAAGAAAAAAGAAAAAACATGTGAAAGCATTTAAAGCATTTTTTAAAGCACGCAACAGGCATGTGAAAGTCAAACAAGAACAAATTTTTCTTTTTTCAAAATCTTCCATGATAACGTTGTGAGATATGTGTTTATGATACACTGATGCTAAGCTCATCAGCTATCAAAACAGGCAAGTGATAATTTTTCAGCAACAAATGTCAAACTATTTTAATGTTCTCATCTTTTCAAGACTGCAAAAGGAAACTACTTTTCTAGATTCATCATCAACATCTTCAAGTCTGTTATGAAATCATCCATACAAATGCAAAATATTAGATTGTATTGATTCCCATATGCATAACACTACTTTCAAATGCCTCCGTTGCTGTTTTTCTTGTTTTACAGCGAAATTTCATTGCTATTCTTTGCTCAACTTTCAAATTCATGAGAACAGATATTTACCGGATTCAAAAAAATGATTAACTGCACAAAATATTCTCTTCATAAGCAAATAATATTTTAGAAATAGCTAGCTGAGATGTCATAGAAATAAATGCTGTCAGTTATTATTCATCAAGTTTGCTGCAATTTGTTTTAAAAAAATTAAGTCCTTAAACTTTGTAGTTGTACTATGTAACATTTTTAAATTTTATTTATATTAAATTTTTTCAAACAGTAATAGACATTTATAAACTACTATATATTCAAAAGTGTAAGAAAAAATAACAAAGCTTTCAAATTTTTTTTTAATTTGAATTTGCTGTCTCATGGATTCAGTCCAACCCCCCCCCCAATAAATGCAAGATATATTATCAACTGAATGAAACATATAATGTCTGCCTCTAAAAGTTTGATTTGAAATTTCTGGATAAAAGTGTGAATATTAAATGAGTACATAAAGTACTCTAATTTATTTAGGAATAAAATCCTCTTTATGGTATTAAATTGCAATCAGAAGTTTTCAGAATGTGTAAAAGGTTTTTCTTAATCAATGTAAGATAACAAAATTATGACTATTTAATACCGATTACAAAAGTTCTGCATTACAGTTTGTAAAACATTATCATTTTCAGAAAAAGGTAAAAAAAGCATGTCCTTCCTTTTTTTTTTTTTTTTTTTTTTATTATGAAGAGATGGAATTCTGAATATCAGGAGTTTAATATACTTATATTTCTGAAATTAAGATTTACTCAACTTACTTTTCAATGACCGTGGAACATACTGAAACACAACTACAGTCGTTAGAGCTTCAAACAAAACCTATACCAAAAGCACAAAATTTATAAATACTAAAACACTAGCAAAAATCATTACAGCCAATTATTAAACGATAAGGATAATTTTAAAACATATCAGGAATTTCTACAGTATTTGTAATAAGAAAACAATAAAACAATAATTATATGAAATATATATAAAAACATAATGTTAGGAAAATAATGCAACTGGCCTTTAAGTGAAAAGTATTCTTAATTATAATTTTACTGCAGTTTTGTTTAGCACATGATTAAAAAAGACAATGCATGAACTAATTACAATAGAAAATAGAATTTCTCTTGTTTCAAACGTCAATTAAATAGATTATTGTGGCTAAAAATAATACAGCTATTCCACAATAAACCATAAAATACATTATTTGAATACTAAATTTAAAAACTGAAATACAGCATGTTTGAAAAAGAGGCATACAACTTCTCATGATAGCAGAATGACATAAATAAATGGCATTTATTATCATGCAAAATATAAAACAATATATAAAATTAAGTTTCGTTATAACTGCTTTCACAAGTCCACAGGTACAACAATTAGCAAAGCTGACAGTTGTATCAGTAAGCTTTGCTTTTGTCAGAAGATAGCTTTGAATTCCAAATAAGGAAGAAAGATTTCTGTTTAAAGCAAGTATGTACAGACCACATTCTTCAGAGTTCACCAATGTGGTTCCCATTGAATAATAAAAAAAATAATAATGAAAGGATGAGTAAACATAATAAATTGAAATTGAAAATGATAACTAGCAAGTTTATGTTATTGGATGTGATGCATTGCTTAAATGAACTAAATATGCATCTTCAAGGCCAAAATCATCTAATAAATTATGTTTAAAAAAGTAACAGCATCTGAAATTCAACTGAAATTGCAGAAATTTTATATTAACAAGAATTTTAAAAATGGAGTTGTCACTATTAATGTAAAACTATTTCAACTACAGTTCAAAATGAAACTGCTGCAATTTCAATATGTTTGCTAATCTATTCCCAAATTACATCAAACTTACCTACAAATTTGATAATGAAGATATGCAAAGCAAAAACAATTGATATCAGATATGCTATGATCAGATATGAAAAGCAAAAATAAATAAATAACGAAATAAATAGCTTTAATAATTTGTACTTATTTAAATAAAAATTTATGCTGCTCTACAAACATCCAATATCCATAATGTATCTTTTCGAAAGCATATACATTTCTGAACAAACATGTAAAAAGTAAAATAAGAACAAAAATTTCTGATGAATGTATTGAAAATAATTCTTCACAATTACTCTTACACCTATTATAATAGATAAAGATGCAATGTAATTGAGAAAAGTAAACTCAATGATAACATTAAAAATGACATGTCTATTTTTTTTTTCTAACTTTTTTTAACTTAAAAGTGATTTTATCAGATGCAATAGTAATATAAATTGTATTGTGTTCATTAATAAATATCAAATTCTATACAGTGCCTTTGGAATCCCCCCCAGACTGTGTGATCCTTAGCACATCTTTGCAGCAAGCAGTATGCAGCTCCAGAAGCTGTGAATGGTCAGACACTCCTGGTTTAAAGGCATTCCAGCATAAAGATAGTCCATGCAGCTGAAAGTTATTTTTATATGTTTACGAAAGGGGAAGAGGAATATTTTACTTAGACTCCTGAATTCCATCCCTCAAAATATTCTCAATCAAAATTAGAAAGAAGATGAGCAAAATTATTTTGCCATCAAAGCTCTCCAAGCCTTTGCCAATGGCAGGTGCATTCTTTGTCCTCTCCCACTGAGTATTCATAAAGCTACCTCTGCAGCTATTCTCCACCACAACAGATGAACAGCAACATGGCCACTTCCAGTAATTTTGCAGATATATCATCTAAAGTCAATATGCTGACAGCTTTGGCACAGTACATATAGCTTCAATAACAAAAGCAATAGTTCTGCAAAACACCTCATCAATATTAGCACATTCAAGCCTTTTAAGAAAAACTTTTATGTGGAAAGCCTGAAAGCAAAATAAGCTATTATTTCTGAACAAGGAAAAGTCATTTTTAAACAGCGGTGTATTTCACTAAATAGTGAAAAACTTCATACCTTTCACTACCACACACACATTCTATTTCTGAATCATCATCTTTTTTTCCTAAAACATTGCAGACCCTCTTTTTAAAACATTCTATAACTCAAAAGCTAAAAAGAATTCCACAAAATATAAAATTCTATAAAATTTATAAATTACTATTATCATACGAAAGTATGTGCCATTAGCTTTACTACCAAACAATTAATCTGTATCTTGGCTAATCAAGAAGCTGATGCCAATTGATTAAACTTATAATAACACTTATAATCTAAATCAGCTATTGCAAGTCATAAAATGTACATTTTTTAGTTTCCACAGTAAGAGAATAAAATGGACTTAGACCACCAGCTATAGTATCTATAGAATTCATCAAATGAGAGGATAAATTTTTCATCTAATCTCTATTTAAGAAATACACTGACTGCCAATAAGTATTTGGACACCTATGCAAATGACGATATCTTTGGTCCTAAGGTATATCATGGACTCTGCTGGTATATATAGTGTAGGAAACAGCATCGGCTTTAGTCGCATGCAAGATGCCTCGCAGTTCGGAGCTCTCCGATTTCTAGAAAGGTATAATTATCGGGTCTCACAAATGTGGCTGATCCTTAAGGGACATATCTAGTGATCTGAAGTACCCAAAATCGACAGTGACCTATGTGATTAGAGGTGGAAGGTGAGAGGTGATTGTCGGAATGTGCCCGGAGTCAGCAGACCAACGAAACTGGGAGATAGAGACCGACGAGTGCTGTCCAGAGAAATTCGGAAGAACCACACCCAACCGATGGCCCTCATCTGCGAGGAGTTTCAATAGGCATCCGGGAGTATTGTTTCAAAGAATACCATCCGTAAGGAAGCACATCTGCTTGGTTTTCATGGTCATGCTGCTGCCCATAAGCCTTTAATCACAAAGTCTAACTGCGGTGCTCGGTTAATGTGGTGCAAAGCACATCGAAATTGGACCGTAGATCGGTGGAAATGGGTTCTTTGGAGTGACGAATCAAGGTTCACCCTTCATCGTTCGGATGGCACGGTCTGGGTCTGGCGTCTACCTGGAGAACGTCTCCTGCCAGAATGCATTGTGCCAACAGTCAAGTTCGGCGGAGGTGGAATTACGGTCTGGGGGTGTTTCTCCTGGTATGGGCTGGGACCCTTGGTTCCCATTCATGGTAAGCTCAACTCCGATGCCTACTGCACTATTTTGGATGACAATGTGCTTCCTACGTTGTGGCAGTTTTACGGGTTGGACTCCTGTTACTTTCAGAACGACAATGCCAGTTGTCATGTTTCGACGTTAAACAAGGCTTGGTATGGTGCCAATGGAGTTCATCGAATGAACTGGCCTGTCCAGAGTCCACACCTGAACTCTATCGAGAACCTCTGGGATGAGTTGCATCGCCGAATTCAAGGGTGCCCTACCCGTGCAAAATCGGTGAAGGAACTTCTATGTCTTCTCCAAGCCGAGTAGAAGAAAATACCACTAGCTGTCATACAAAGACTTGTGGAAAGTATGCCCCGGAGGGTCCAAGCTGTAATTACCTCTCGTGGAGGCTCTACCAACTATTGATTTTGAATAAAGTTAGTTTTTCTTTTCTATCACAGGTGTCCAAATACTTATTGGTAGTCAGTGTATATGTAGCAACACTACAGAAGGGTGAATGCTGCAGTTAATTTGACAGTATGTTTTCCTATAAGATTTGCTGCTCACAACTGTTTTATTCAAAATAGTGAGCTGTACATCCGTTCATTGTATTTTAAGAAAAATACATCCTTTATAATATTAAGATATCTTTTGACAGCAACAACTTTTTTATTTTTGCTTAGATAACAAGTTGATAGCAGAAAAAAAAAATACTGTTAAAGTTTAAGAAAGAAAAAATGTAAATTTCAATTTTTATTTTTTGATTAAAAAAAAACTCTTAGGAATTAAAGCTAGAATAAATACCATCGTAGGAATACTTTTGTCTCCGATATCAGACACTTCATACCGCTGACCATCTTTCGTTACCACTTTTTTTTTACTCTAAAAAGAAATAATATTTATGATTATATAAAAAGAGCTATAATAATTTTTGCTACAATTAGCAGTAAGCACAATCATTGTAACAAATCTTGGTTAATTACAACTTCAGACAAAACACAATAATCAAACATTTGTGGACAAAAATGGTGAATTATGCAATTAAGGGAATGGTTTGCAACACATATATGGTAGCCATCCACAGCAGATTAAGAAATTTCATATTAATGCAAAATTACTCTCATGGTTCCATGATTACTTATGTAATTATTTGGCTGTGTATTCAATGCTTAGTTTGCTAGATTTCTCTGTTATCACTATGGAACGGGATTTTTCTTCTTGTAAAATTTCTTCCTAAGTTATTTCCTTACATGACTTCAGAGAGATAAGGAAAGAAGAAATTTTTCATCTAAGAGGGAAGAACCTTAGAGAAATCTAATTAACTAACAAACACAAAATTACCATTTAAATTTAAAATGTTGTTAATAATTTTAAAAAAAGAATCATTTTTCTTCCCCAACCATACTGAAAATAAAATAAATTTTACATACATACATTAAACATATAATAGGCATATTTTTATTTAAAATCTTTATAAGAATTTATCCTTTAGATGCAAACATAAACAAATTTTCTAATACAATTTTTATTGGTGGTAATTTTATTACATGTCTACAGAAATACATTTAATAAGATTGATAAGCGATTGAACATGAAATAGTTCCAATCAGGATAACAATATATTATATAATAATATCAAAGGCACAAAAGTAAATAGAAAGTTTCACACATTATGTATAACTGGCAAATAAAAAAAATATAATAAAAGTAAATGAAGCACTAGACTCATTTTTATTTTGACCACATCTGGCATGAGAAGTGAATTATCAAAATCATCAAGTTTGGCCTACCAAGGGAACTGAATTAATTTACACTTTCCTCACCAACAGAAAGTTTATAGTCAGACATAACAAATACTATTCTGTTAAAAATATCAACCGAAAAAAGGTTCCACTGATTTCAGCACAGGATTAACATTATATCTTACCTGATCCTGATTTTCCCGCATTCAAGAATAATTTTAACTGAATAATTAACTACTATACAAATGATATAGCAACCGTGGAAAAACTGATCAACTACAACTTTATAGTATCAAAACTTCAAGATAAAACCAAAGCTATTAAAAATTGATGTTACATATGAAGAATCAGTGTTAACACAGATAAACTAAAAATTTCAGTCCTTAGGTACATAAACTTAGTGAAGTCTTGATTACAAATCAACCATATCTACTTAAGAAACATTAGTAGAAAATTATCTAAATGTCATTACTAATCATTTTTTTAATCCTATCAACGTGGTAACAGGAAAACTAGTAGAATTATTCAGTTTTTTTATTATTATTATTATTGCAGAGGCACTACATATTGGCCTGCATGCATCAAAGATGCACGAAATTGGAGCATGAAAAAATACAAAAAGACAAAACAGTAATTAACCTCATTACAATAACTACATCAAAACTGGAAAATGGGATAATAAAATGATTATATTAAGCATTAAATATGATAATAATAAATCAGTCTGTGGATATCAACTGCATCAACACTCTAGCTCACCAATATTGACAGTATAGGTTTTCTTCCTTCAACGAGGAACATTTTAGCAAATGATCTCTGTCCATCTCAAAATTCTGGTTGCACAAAGTACTAATGGGACTCCCATATATACCAATGCAATGCAGATGTTCAATGAGACAATCATGTCTGGTCTCTAATTTATACACCGCAACTACGATGGATCTGGGAGAGTCTGAGATATTATGAATTGAATCCCTCCAATTCTTATTCTTAATTTCTTCAATTTAACTTCAAAATTTTTTGTCAGGGCTTTTTTTACTATTTTTTTCCGTTGAGGTAAATGATACCACCCTATGATTTGATTGCAAAATTTCAGTGCCTTTATTAGTTTATCAGCCCATCCATCACTAGTAATTTCAAGCCATCCATCACTAGCCTGGATCCACTGTAAGATAATAGTCATCCCTTTTGAGGCTACAATATAAAGAGTTCTTCTGCACTATTCAGTAATTTTTGATTCCATGACATTATGTGTAGAAATGGCTTGAATCGCTGAAAGGGAGTCTGAAAAAATAACAATATTTTTTAATTGGATTGTTCTAACAATAATTTGTTCAATTGCAACTCTAACTACCTCCAGTTCTCCATCAAAATTGGTCCAAAATGGGCCAAGAGAAGAACAGAATGCAAAAAGCTTTGAATATACGCCAGCTCCAACTTTGTTGAGCATTTTTGGTCCGTCAATATATACGTGAAGCCAATTAGTCTTTGGATATTGAGTAAACTGTCTCCACAGCAGCTGCTTATAATTCACTATCAACTGATGATGACTGTTACAGCATCATGATACATTAAATAACATTCAATTCTAACAGATTCTGGGTGGATATGACTTATTGATTTCAACAGTTCTTCTGTGAAAACATCCAGGAGAGAGTAGTCTGACTTCAGTTTTAAAATTTTCTGTAAAAATCTATCCTGATTCTTCAATCTTGTAGGTCTAGAGATATCATAATGTCTCCATAACTATGTTGATGGTAATTTGATTAATTTCTCATAAAGTATTAATGCTCTCTCCTGAATAATGACAGGGTAAATGTTTCGTACATTGTCGTGTCAATATCACTTCCATTTAATGGATTCACTTCCATTATTCACTGTTTAAACTACTACCAACAAAAATTCCTCACTGGAACTTGATTTAAAAAGAGGGATCTACTGACACTATTTTGAGACTTCATGTCTTACCTGCCAGTAAAACTACCAGTGAATGAAACATTAAAAAAATTCAAAAGAAGATTATTGTCATCAAAACATGATTCTTTGCATCACAATGCATGATTAGTATTTTCATCAGCAAAGATCTGCAGATACCCTCTGATTTTTTGCATCAAAGAAATGAAAAACTTTTCAATTAGTATGGCCACAAAGTGCATAAAACTCGAGTATATATTAAATACAAAATTCTTAACATTGATATCACACTCTTTGCTATTCTCATTTATAAAAAAATTCTGAAACTTAACATTGTCATTCTCCATTTCTTCTTTATAAATTTTACTCATTTCATTTATCTCGTTATTTCAAGGTCTTCTCACATTTCTTTCAAAAACAAATATGATGAATACAGATATCATATTTATACACAGAAGCTACATCACTACACATAAGCTACTATGGGCTGATTTATGTTTCTTTCAAACTGGTTGTTTAATATTTTCCCCCACCACTGACTGAACAGGTCACATTCTTCAAGCTTCATACAACCAGTGGGAAATTATCTACAACCTAGTCACAAAGGCAAGATAAGGAGATCAATTGGGCATTTATTTCTGAGTATTAACAAAATTATAATAATAATTTACAGATGTAATTCTCATACAGTGTTTGTTCAATTAACAATACTAAGTCCCCTTCTTGACCCCATTAAAATAATGGCCAACCCCCCCCTTTTGCTGCATTTCTCTCCTCATTTATCTTTAAAGGTATTTTTATTAGAACTTTTCATTAATAAGTCTCTATGGTGATAGTTCATGTCACATAAAAACATGCTAATACTAGAATACAATTACAAAAACATATTCAAGTACTTATCTTTAAGCAGAAAAGAAAAAAAAAAGTCAATAAACTTACAATGATTCTTAACTCAGAAAACCTTTCAACAACTGATAAAAGACCATCTGCCTACAAAAAAATAAAACATAGTTTAAAAAAATTTGTAAAAAAGTGAACGATATAAAAATTAACAATATATTTTAATAGGAAAGGTAATAAAATTTAATCAAACGTGTCATGTTTATTATGTAATTTGTACAAGCATTTAACTGCATAAAAAAACTAAAAGCCATCTGATCTTACCAATTCAAAACAATGACAAATCCTCTGAGTAAGATTTTCTTGACCGAGTATTTGTATAGCAACCCAAACAGGAAGGAAATCTAAATGCCCATATGAAGCTTGTCCTAAACCAGCAGCATGAACATGAGCCATCTCCTTTGCTTTATACAGTGTCTAAATTAAAGCTAAGGCCCAATGGAAATAAAAATACTTAAAATAAAATGAAGTAAATAATAACCAAATGTTCTTCATAAAAATTCTGATATTTAAGTGTAAAATTTCTTAAACATAAAAAATAGCAACACATGCAAAACTATCATATTCATTTATTTTGACCATGCTTTCATAAATTAAAAAAGTTTTTTTTAATATTTTTATATTAATAGACAGAGATTTTAAAATTCAAGAACATAACATTTTATATAAGAGGTTTCAGGTATAAGATGATCTTGCACTTTTAAAGTGTTTCACAACTAAAAAAAGGCTTGCATATAATGTAGCTTCACACATACTGTATTAGCTGGATATATTCAAGATATCTGATAAAGCTAATTAAACAGTCACAGTATTATATCATCAGGTAAAATCATATAAATTTATTTACATCTAGTATAAAAATTAAGAAGAAAAAGATAAAATACTTTAACATATTTACCTATTAAGCTCACAGAAAAATTTATATGGTTTCAAAGAGGTATTTTTATAGGGGGGGGAATCTTATATTTAGTCAATATGTACCAAGTTTATGGTGAACAGTTTCATTAGCAGTGGACATTCATTTCATTTATATTTATATATTTCAGTAAATTTTGTCAAATATTAAATTTAGTTCAATTTCAGTTTAGTTCAATTTTTGTAACAGTTACAAAAATGTTCACAATTAAATAAAAACAACTTTAAAAACATGCATATTCTTGAACAACTGTTTGAACTTTATACTTAATTTAATTACACAACATATTATTTGTTCTACAACTCAGAAATATTTTTAAGAATATTTAGTCAAAAATACGTTTTCTTACTTAAACAACAAAAAAGTAAATGAGCAATGAGAATAAAAGCAATGAGAATAATTAAAATCAATACATTATTAAAATACACACAAATTATAGTTGGCAGCAAAAGAAAACATATTAAATGTCTCCTGAGTGATATTCAGTAACTTTTGGAAAAATTAATAACTTTTAAACTTTTATCACAGTAACTTGTTCTAATTAAAAAATGATAATACAATTTTTATTTGTAACAGTTTCAGTCTAATTTTACAAAATTTATTTTTTTCAGTTGTACAGATTTCTTAGTATCATCATAAATATTTCAGGTTACCTTTCGCTCATGTAATTTTTATACAAAATTAATACACTGAACTATAAACATATTCTCTCAATCTCTCATAATTATTCAAATAATTTAAATATAAGATGCCATACTAAAATTCTCCAAAAATATTTATTAGTTAATGTTTCATCTTATTATCCTCTATTACATTAAAATAAATCTTAATTTCAATGCAAACATTGACACCAGCAATGTTTCTATAATTGAAAGGACCTGAAAGAAATAAATTTGGTGGGGAGGAAAAGAGTGAAAAACAACTACAATGTTACTTTGTAGAGTCATTAGGTTATTTTGAAATAGAAAAGGTGAAAAATGAGCAAAGCCTTCGCCGGGACTCAAACCACGTACCTCTCAAATACGTGCCGAGTGTGCTGACCACTACACCACGAAGGCATGCTAAGGCGGGAGAAATACCTTACTACTTGATGCTAAAAACAGTTGCATGATAAATGCATTTATAATACAAACCTGTCAGCAGTCTTCCTCCTGTTCAATTATCCAACAGAATTCCTTAATGTAAACCATAAAACAACCCGACAACCCCACAAATATCATACATCTTTAATTTATGATTTTTCTTTTATGATTCATGCCCTTTCAAGAGCATTTCCTGGAGTTCCTCTGATCGAGGATTATCACAATGATTGGTATATCCATTTTAACTGCTATTCAGCCATTTTTAAACAATTGATTAAATTAATTATATTTTAGTTTATAATCTGGCCAAAAGTATTGATGGAAAAAACTTGCTGAAATACCATGCGAATTTCTGTACACAAATTTCATAACAAAATTTAACATGCAAACCCTGTCGCATCACAGCCATTTTCATTAAATTAAAAAAAAAAAAAAATTATGTTACACACATTCTCAGAAAAAAACAAAAGTATTAACTAAGATGGATAAGGATTCAATAAAGCAATCTCAAATAGCCTCTTTTATTTTCATTTATTTATTTTTTTAAATTTTGTATAGTTAATCATAGCAAAGCATTCAATAGCTATCTAGCTAATAAAAGGGATATCTTCATAAAGGACTTTATTAAGGAAATTAGCTTAAATTCATGTTAAATATGAAGAAAAGCATAAAAATGTACATCAACTAGTTTGCTTGTTGGAATAAGGGACAAGATACTAATTATCAGCGTTGAATTATCTTATTATGCATTCAGTCACTGAAAAGCTTTATACACCTGCCAACTATCCTGGTTTTACCAGGTCATTCAATTTTTTTGCATCAATTTCCCAGTAAATCACCAAATTTCCTGGTTATTAATTTTTAGCCTTTGCTAATGAAAAATGTTTCCCAGCAATAAATAAAATTTATTGAACTAATAAAATTTAAATTGCGGAAATTCCATTTACCAAGCCCTAATGATTTCAGCATAGCTTTTTTTTACTAAATTTAATTTAAATTGAATTTTCTTAATCTATAGACAATCAAAGAACTTTTAGGAAAGATTCAGCCAGTTAATATTTACATTTGGTTTCATTTCACAGCAACAAATTACTAAGTTTATGAATGTTTATTATGTTCAATTTTTTAATTTCCAATCAATTTTTTAATTTCACATTATTAAATGATAATGGATACAAGTTATCATCAGAAAATTTCAGTATATTGAACTCCCCATTACTGAACTTTCCCAATATTTCCCCATTCCTTTCGTTAAAAAAAAAAAGAGGCGAGTCCATACTACAATACATTCTTTTTTCCTTTACAATTATTTGGACTTAAGTTACTATCATTTAAAGGACCAGAATGATTTTTATTACATATTTAACTGATAAGAAGTTAATAGTTGCCTAAATTTCTTGAATTACATTTCCTAATCTCCATACTTGTATAAATTAAAACTGACCAGTTATGTATGGCCATCCAAGCAGTATGTCTCAATGTCTCTCCACCAGACTTCTGCTAATTCGTAAAATCTACATGACATCAAGTTCCTAAGCTTCACTGAATTACATATAATATGAACTAAGTATCCCATGACTTTTGGCATTTGAGTGTATCATCATACACAAAACTCAATATAAAATTTTTTTTATTCAAATCACTCAGTTATTTCTAGTAAGATTTATGCTTTATTTATTCAACTTTCTAGGAGTCTATCTAACTAAAATGGTAAATTTTAATTTTTAAAGGATACAATATAAGGCAAAGAAGGAAGCCCAATCCAATTTCCTAAACTCAGTGTCATGCTATCACCTAAATTTGAAGGCTGGAACAAGAAAACATGAAAACAAGAAACATAAAATTCAAAGGCATTCAAAAAAATTACATGTACATTATCAAACACTGAGTATTTTAATGAATGTTAAATTAAAGTAAAATAATAAAAAAAAGGGTGCAGATAATTGCAATAATCTCGACACAAAAACACAAAAGATGATGAAAAATAATGAAACTGACAAACAAAAGAAAACTCATCAATTTCAAAATCATAATTTTATTATATATAGTATAGATTCTAAAATTTGCATGTTAGAAATACAGTTAAGAAATACCAAAATTCTTATCATCTTAGCCTGTGATGAACATAAATTCAAAGTTCATAATAAGTATACACAAGTTTGCAATAACTTTGTTTCAATCAAAAGAGAAGCAAATAAGAGCCAAAATGTATTAAAAAATATATTTTGGCCTGCAAACAAATAATAAATTATCAAAATGATCCAAAAAATATTTGTATTTCTTGCATAAATAATTAAAAAGCAATTAACCTTCCAAGCATTATATTTAGCCATACAAATATTCACACAGTACACTTTTTACATATAGACAGCTCTCCATCATTCAGTACATTTCCAAATTATCTACATTTGTTGCGTGAGATGTTATTTTATTTCATTGTTTCTTTATAAATTTAAATGACTGATTTTTTTTTTATTTCCAGGTTATTTTCTCTCTTACAAAAAAAATTTACATATACCATATTTTAACATATTTTTCCTCTTCACATATTTGCCCCTAGTTTTTTTCAGCATATTATTTAGAAACTTCTGATTTATTGCAACAAAGTAAAATGCATCAACAAACAGGAAATTATTTTCTGTAAGTAAAAACAAAAATATATATATATTATTGAAATTGATAAGTCTTTTGAAAGATATAATACAATAATATTAGTAAGTGTTTGCTTTTAATGAAATAATATTAGTAAGTGTTTGCCTTATGTTTTCTTTTTAAAGTGCTATGTTTGTAATTTAAGTCATCTTTTCAGAGATATTAAACACCACATATTCTTCACTTCTCAGTTTTTGATTGGTAAACCTAGTAAGAAAGGGACGATACAAGAGTAAATATGGTTTTGACAAAATAAAAAAGGCCACTTTTAAAACAAACATTTTATAAAAATGAACTAAATACAAGTACAGTAGAGTCCCGCAAACTTGACATAACGTGCCGCACATAAATATGCATATGCATAAATAATAATTATTATTAATATATGTACTGTATATAAAATTTGCTCTGTTTGGTCTACAGATATCTTAAAAAAGTTCCAAAGAAGCTGTCAAGTTATACAGAATGTTGACATATCGGGTGTGGAGTTAGCAGGATTCTACTGTACCTGACAAATTTGTTACTGTTCTTCATTGTTTTGTCAATCAGTTATTTACAAAAAGGTTTCAGTTCCTTCAAAAACACCCTTTAGATCTGATTTAGATGTTAATTTCTTTATGATACTCTTTTTTTTTTTTTTTTTTTTTTTTTTTTTTCTTTTTAAATATGCTTCAATGTATAGATCATTAGAACAATTATTGTATCACCTACAGAGCAATTATTTCATTCTTCATTCATTCATTCATGTAAAGTCATCATCAGTTAAAACTATTTCAGAGCAAATATTTTTTGTTTTCTGTACCTATTGATAAAAAATCTACACCACCCTAAGATTGCTTTTTTTTCCTTTCACTCATTTTAAATATTACATTGCCAAGTTTCTTTTCCAGTTTGAATATATATTTAAAATTCAGATTTATCGCACATACATATCACACATATTACATACATGTATGAAAACTCAAACAAGTAAAAGCGAACACATTCATTATTATGAAAAAATTAAGTATGTAATATTCATGCAGGAAAAAATCATATTTACCAAGTTGGGAACAACAACTAAACTAAGAGCTGCTAAACTATGCCCCTGCACATGTAACCATACATTATGAGCAAGACATATTTCTTGAATTTTTTGTAGATTATCAACATAGCCAACTAAATGCATGCCTGCATTGGCAATAACTAACAAAGGAGTCCTGGTTGCAGATAAGTCATCTTTGATGCATCTCTCTAATGCAGCTGTATCCTGAAAGGAACTCAATCCATTTAATCAGATTATGCAGCAATTCAAATTTTATATAAAAGAAATTTTAGATTTTAAAATTATAACTATTTCATTCGAATAAACAAATCTAAATAAAGCCCTTGCAGCTTAGCTTGGTGAAAAATGATTTTGTGAAGTAAAGAATGGAATACATCATTTAAATATAACTTGTCTTAAATTAATAAAATTATGTAAATAAAATTAAATTATGTAAATAAAATAAAATTATGTAAAGTCTTTGTTAAAATAATAAAAGTTTTAACATATTTGGTTTAGGCTTATTTTCAATTTATTACAAATGAAATTTATTTAAATAATTTTGTTCGAATTTTCATATTATTGAAGACATTACACAAGGCAATTCCAGTCTACAATTTACGATTAAAATATTTATTTAGATGAAACTTTACATAATTTTATTCTTGTTTCAAGAAGGTTATTAAGTTTTTGCTAAAACTTAATAAGCCTCTTTTTAATTTGTTGCTAAAATTGCTCGATGTGAGGAAATATTTAAGGAATTATTTTTGGTACACCCTTTGGTTAACACACATATATATTCTAAACAGTTTCATTTCAGTTAACAGTTTGTATACATAGGAAGTTCAGAAATGTAGGTTACAGACTCAATCTGTATTCTTAAATATTACTGTATTCTTAAATATTACTGTATTCTTAAATATTACTGTATTCTTAAATATCGATCTTAAGCATGTATTTTGAATCACAGAACTTTACTAATTAAGGCACAGCAATGTTTCTTAATCTGTGGTTACTGGATGCCTGGAGGTCTGAGAATTAATAACCTACATTTTGCCAATATTTACTTAACTAGTTATAAAAAAAAATGAGGGCTATCTATATAAAAAAATACTATATAATTTCTGATTATCTGCACCCCCTTAAAAAGTCATGAAAAAGGTTATGATAAGGCAACACACCCCATTGCCAAAAGATATTTATATGGCAATTATTAATGAGGCTGAAAAGCATTTATATGGCAATCCACGTACGTGGTTAGTACATGAGCATTTACACTTTTGAAATTAAACAGTTATTTTTCTAATTAGCACTTCCTTTCGCACTGGGTACTTCCCCCCCCCCAAATCATAATGACACTGTAGAGTTTTCCGGATGAATAAAGTAGAGAATACAAAAACTCACATTCTATATAAGTAAACTTCTCAAATGACCCAAATTTATGGAAATGCAATGTGAAAAATAGCAAATAAAATGTTAAAACGTGGTTTGGAAACTGGTTTGAAGATAGCTGTACCTCATCTACCATAGCTTTTTCACTTCATTTATTTCTGAACAAAAGAATTATTAGTGAAATTTTACAAGGAAGAACTGTTACTATCCTCTAACACAACATCAATTGGGTGATATTACCTTAAAAAAATATGCCTGTTTTGCCTTTTTTATATGGAAAAAGAATATAAAAAAATAAGTGGCACTGATGTATCAGAGAACTAAATGTTAGGATACCCAAACAAACATTTTGCTCTGAAGTCCCCAATAAGTTCATAGCTTTACAGTAGTAGTACAGATAATCAGAAAGTACCACAAATGATAATGCATGCAGGTTAATGGTTAAGAATCCTGAAAAATGCACATTATAAAAAAGGTCCTTTAATTCACTAAACTTGAAAAACAGTGAGGTGGAAATTTTTACAAAGGAAGTTTCAGTGCTGTGAGTAAGAGCGTACTCTTAATTCAAAAACCTTACTTCCTGTATGTAAAGCGAAACTTCCAATTCCTTGAATACCAAATGCTTCATACCTTTATGCCCAAAATTCAAGGGAGATGTGCATAATTAATATTTTCATCAGGCCAACTAATAAGTTTATAACAAATGTTGCTTTATACAAAATGGAATTATAAACTGCTTTAAAAAATGTCAGCCATTTTTGTTTGGCAGGTAAATTTTAAGTCAATAAATTTTTCCAAAAAGTCTTGAATTTGACTAATAATAGATACTGAAAATTAAAATCAGTATATCTGTTCTGTAACATCTCTATGAATTTTGCATGCAAAGTTACATAATGAATATTTTACTAACTTTCAAGAACTCGTAAAAAGATAGAGTTTATGTTTACAGAATTCATAAATTTAATGCGATAAAATAATTTTTATAAATTTCTGCACCATATTTTGTGAGCTTTGCAATTAAAAGCAGACAGCTAAGATCAGTATTTAAGGATACAAACCTATAAAAAGTTTTTTAAAAAAAATCATGTACATCCTATTTTATATCACGTAATTTTTTTTTTAAATAATTTTTTAAAAATTAAATTTTTTTTATCAACTAAAAGTCATTTTGCAACAAGTACAATAAAATAAAATTACCATTCTGAAACGACCCTCAGATCCTGGAAGGCATGGTACAGCTGTAATACATGATAATGGAAGACCAAGCTAAAAGGAAATTGGAATAAAGCTCCCTGATATGCTACAATGTAAAAATAATTACAACATGCACTATACATAACACCATAACTTTGTATCAGAATATTCATAACTACCTTCACTTACATGTTAATTGCTCAAAATACATAATAATATATTCAAAAAATATTTATTTTACATTCTTCATAGAAAGTAAAAGAATATAAAAGAATTAATTGCATAGTTTAAGTGAAATTTTACAAGGGAAAAAATTTCTTAGCATTAGTCATTTTATTTCTAAATATTTACAAACAATACGGCTAAATTTAACTTACACCAGTTTTATTAAACAGATACAGAGGAACCTTGGTTCATGAATGCCTTGAATCATGAATAAATTGGTTCACAAAAGCATTTTCCAAACAAAATATGTTTGAATGACAAATGCTGTCTTCAGATATGAACAAGTATGTCAGCAACAAACGATACTCCAAAGTAAGAGTTAATGTAGTGGATCAAAATAAATATATTCAGAAGAAGATGGACAAGAAGATGATTCATTTTAGTTATTTGATAATAAAACTTCCAAGATTCATAGAATATTATCACCCTAATAAAGCAGTAGTAAGCCATAGCATATACTTGCAATGACAATACCATGTCTTACTTAATTAGAAATAATTAAGAACATTTTAAGATATAAAAAGCAAATCCCAACTGACAAATATGGGACAAAGGCTTACAGATTCTCAAGTAGATGGGAGCAATGTTGAGTGAAAAAGGGGAAAAAAACTGCAGAGCAATGTTAAGTGAAAGAGGTGGGGAAACTGCAGAGTAATGTTAAGTAAAAGTGGGGCGGGGGATTGCCTTTTTGGCTTCTTTACTATTTTTTACTTAGACTGTCAACTTTCCTTCATAGAGTTACTATAAAATTTATTTCAAGTTTTCTTAAATTTCAGATGTTTAACACAGGTGAAATATTGTGTATGTATTAAATTTAATGAATTCCACTGGTTTTGCATTACGAACTATACAAAATTTTCTCTCAAGCAACCTTTTGGAATCTGCGAATGTATTGATTCAATTTAGACTAATTTCTATCAGAAAATTGTTTCAGTTTACAAATATTTTGGATTTTCAGGAATGAATCAAGATCGTGAACCAAGATTTCACTGCATAATGTATACTCTGCAAAGGCCTAAATGTATGACTGCCTAGCATTATAAAAGCATTTTACATAAAGGGAGGAAGTATGGCTCAAATATTAGTAATATACAGTATCAGAAACACTTTTTATTAATTACAATAGTTCAACAATTGTTTATAATTATCAGTCAGATATATTATAAAAGTAGAACTCTGATATTCGCACACATGGTTTCAACGTTTGGTAAAACTACTCTGCTTTTGGCATATCTTTGAGAACATGCACCACTATAGCTAAACCATGCCTGTACATACAACACAATAATTTATTTGTTTCTTATTAAAAAAATGGTAAAGTGTTTTATAAAAAACAAACACTTCATAATGTTTCTTAAAAAGTACTTTGTGTTAATATTTATGAATAAAACAGTGCCTCTGAGCCATAAAAATACACGAATAAAAGGTTTTTGCCAATTCAGAACTTCATCAATGAATATATGAATTTCTGTGTGGGGGGAGGGGGGTGAATAATTAGAAAGTACTTAAACATTATACAGTGATAAAGATGTTTTAATTACCTGTAATAATGCTTCAGAATCATTTATAATTATCAGTTGACTACATTATAAAACAAATAGTGCAATACACTGTACATCACAATAATTATAATTGTTTATAATTATCACAATAATGTAATTGTATAATATCACAATAATGTAATTGTATAATGTCACAATAATGTAATTGTATAATGTCATAATAATACAATAATCGTATTTAACTGTTTATAATAATCAGACAGATACATAATTTTAAAAACATGATATCAGAAACAGATTTTATTAATCATAATTAAGCTGAAAATGCTCTTAAAAATTATTAATTGCATACACTATAAGTTGAATGTTTTAAAATTAGTCAAAACATATGCTAAAAAATTATATCTAATATAGCAGTTCCAATCTGTAGTACATTGTACATATATAATCAATGGCAACTGAGTTCTTACAACTTAGCAGGCGTGTTGTGTGTACTCAGTGTTTCTGTGCTTTGAATGGCATCATCCCCTTTTGTGCTGAATGAATAAATGAAGTATTTCTGCATCTACTGATACTAAATTTATGTATTTACAAAGATTCTGAGCAAAGTTATGGTGCTTCGTGTGTTTTGTTGCATTTGTTTACATCATCATTTATGTCACAGTTTGTGTAAATGTATTTTTATTTTCACAGACAAATAGCCTTTGCATCCAAATGACAAGAGTTTGTTTTTGGTTCAAATGATTCTTCTGAGTACAGTAGTATAAGTTTTATTTCTCAGAGATAAGTTTTGACAAAAATAAAGCTAAAACTTAATGTCATATTTTAGTGATCTCTGCATTTTATTCCTGCCTTTGGATTCCTCCACTGAATTTTATTTTATACAATGCGTTTTTCTTTTTTTTTAATGATATAGGTTTTTATGTATAATGGATTTTTGACGAGGATATAGTTAATTTCGTTTTCTAAACTTGTGTATTTAGCTTCAAACATGGTAAACTGGCATTTATTTACATTATTGATCTGCATTTACTTAAAGTAGTCTGTCTATTATACTTTTTATTATTACTTTGCATACAAAATTGTTTTTCATTTGTTTTTTATATTAATATTTTGTTTAATTTACATTTTACTAATATTTTTTAGCATCAACTTGTGAAGTAGTATATTAATTTTTTTGTTTATATTTTATGATTTATTAGCGTTTTTTTTTTATTTTATTTTATTTTTTATTTTGACAGATAATAGGTTTTTGTATTATATAGAATAAATTTATTTCATGCTTTTGATTATTTCTGTTTTTTGTTTTAAATTTGGAATTCTACGATTGCCATTTGGCTACTTTTATCACATCGGTTAGTTGCCATTCTAATTACAATTACAACGTGGGTTTAGTTTTATGATAATTATTCTTCCCCCCCCCCCAGGAAGAAGCTAACTTACTCCACTGCTTTTCAGATTTGATTTATGCAAATATAAAGTTGCCACTCATTTTCTAGATGTATGGTCCTTAACATTAGACTTATTCGGACCTTTAGTTAAACTTGGATCTTTCTTACGTGACTCGATACTTCGCAACAAGCTAACCTGAGAACACAAATAAGGCTAGAAGGACCTTTTCACAGCTTTTCACCCTGTTCTTCAAATTATCCATACGCAGCAAACTGCCCGCGGATATTCAATTCCTCCCATTCGCTACACATTTGGCAACTTCTTGCCAAATCCAGAGTACTTAAATAACAGTCTTTTTATAAAATGAAGCTGCAGTTAAAATTGATAGTTCATTGTAGTGTAAAATGTAGGGCATGTTATTCATTGCCTTAATTTATATGAAATTTTTCACTATTATCTAATTATATGCTGTATTAATTGTTTTCTAAGACACATGCACTTCCAGTAAGGCCCAGATAATCATCGTCCTACAGTACGTTTTATCCTATCTTTCTGATTACTGTTTAAAATAAAAAATAAAATGAATAAAAAGGCTGGAAACTGAGATCTTCAGATTACAATATAATGACTAAAGAGTTTACCATTAAAAATTTCAAGGACGTGGAAAAATATTAAAACTTTAAAATCGTGAAACAAACATAAAAATTAAAAAAACAAATGATCTTATACCAATTAATTCCTCTAATCAATTAGAATTATAACATTAGAAATGTCTTATATATTTGTTACAACAAAGCACAAATGCTCATAAGAACTAAAAAATATATAAAAAATTAAATTCTTAAACGTTCAAAGTGCGTTTATTGCTTTTAAGACAGTTACCATATTAAGTAATGACTGTTTGCTTGTATTTTAAAAATAAATGAAAGTTTTTATGCTTTGACAAATGAAATGTCTATGTGCGACGGGGCGTTAAAGATGTTTCTTTTGCTTCACACAGGGAAATATATTGATTTTACATCTCTCAATTTATAAAAAGCAGACTGATTCAGCTCTATGAGAATCTGCGAATTATATTTTGTCGTATTACCTGCATAAGCTAGGTAAATACCATACATTTCCTTCTAGGTATAAAAATAACAAGTATATCATATGCAAAAATTTGGCTATTCCTTTCCTTAGATTGGAATCATCTGCAAATCAAACGTATTAATGATAGAGTTGCTTAAGCCATGAAACACTGGTAGTATGCAGTAAGTTCATTTGTAATGACCGTAAGCTCGGAACTGCATGGGAGTCCCTCAGTATATTATATAAAAGAAGTCCTTTACCCTTATAAAGTTCCGACGAAGCCATCTTTTCCTTTATACAGAAACCCTTGTTCCTTCTACCATACTTAATTGATTAGTACTTCCGTATTGGTTAGGTTAGGTGATTTGAATATAGCAAAGCACACAAGAGCTATCTGACTAAGGAGTGAGATGCATTCGTGGAAGACTTTCTAAAGGAAACAAGCTCGTATTCACGTTACACGTGGGAAAACTACCAACCATGAATACAGCCCATTCACTTGGATTCAAAGAATGTCAAACTACCAGTAATCAGCACTTTACCCACTCGGCTACTGGTGGGACACTTTCGTATTATATTTTCTAAGGGATTTGTTAGTTTGTATTTAGAATGTTATTTATAACTGTTTATAGTTCTGTCTTTTTGTTAATTTAATTTTGGCCTTGAAAATGGCTTGTATTTTTAATTTGTGGGCCCTTTTTTTAACTGAGGTATTCAATCCCGCTAAGATTATGACAAGTAACAATATTGTATTAATTAGGAAAATGCTCCGGTAATTTAATAAAAACATTCATTATGATAATCTTAGCAGAACTGTTTTTTCAGGTTCATGAGGTTTTCCAGCTTTATGAGGTTGAAAATTATACACATATGTCGAAGATG